TTTAAAATACTAACCTGGAGATATTGTAGCCAAAGTAGCAATTTCAGAATCAAAAATATTATGAACAAGTATCAGGGAAAATAATGGAGGGCCCATGTTTTCCTATTCTAATGACCTAAGCAATGCAGTAATGAATTTATTTATTAAAGTCAGCACCAATACTCAAGCACGCAGACACACTCCCACAAAACCCACATTCTCTCACACTTTGCATTACATAGAGGCATTTATACCTCAATGGCTTCCTGAGAAAACTTCCTAAAAAACAGGGCAAATGTGGTAAAACAAACTCCACAGATTCTGAGGCTTTTGGTTTATTCTACAAGCGATTTGAACAAACTCCTGGAAAAAGAGGAAAATAACTAAGTTATGTACTGAAATGTTTGGAAAAGAACTACAGCACGTATGAGGGGGCTTCCAGAAGCTCATGGGAACATGCCATGATCTTTTACTTCCAATTCTGCGTGCACTTTCTGAAGCCCCCTTCGTATTGGAATAAACGACAGTTTGTCTGGTGGAAAAAAATGGGGCTCCCTACTCCAATGGACAGGGACAGTGTTGGGAACTCACAGGGACAGCTCGCCCCTGTGCAACAGGGTCACTGGGAGTCATCGGCATCGGCTAGATGGCAGTGCTTGTCTTGAAACCTACCTGAATATGATGTTGGGACTGTGAACTTTATACTCAAAGGGCCAAGTCAAACCAGGACTGTGCTATGATGCTATCAAAGTGGCAATCTCCATAAACATTCAATGTTATGACAACAGGACTATCATTTCCATAAGGAAAAGGGTAAATACAGCGAATAAGGAATTCGTCATCAGTGTCAGAATTTACAAAGGAAAAGTTCTTACTTTTTTTTTTTAAACAAAGTTCAGATTGTCAAAGTAAAATGATAGGTCACCCCTCTTCATTGTGATTCCCCTTTTGACATTTTCCTACCCAGACTACCCAAGAACTGCAGGATTCGATTTGTGACAAAACACACCTGGAGCCAGGTTAGAAACCATGTGAAGAGACCTTCTATTATAAACCTTAACATATATGACTCACGGCAGCTCACTAGTTTTAATGACAGACCTTTGAAAGCATTTACTTCCACTCACTTTCAAAATGAAAAAGATTTTTTTTTTTTTAATGAGGCAGAGAGAAGTGTGACTCACTCAAGGAAGGTCACAGTTTTTGTGTCCAAGATGACAGGGGGAACGCCAATCTAAATGACCCAGCAAGGTCCAGCGTCCATCCTACGGGTTTACATTGAGCTCTGTCATAATTTCCTTTACAACTTGGCACCCAGGCAATCCATTCACGGGAAATGATTAACAGTCAAACTTTTGTCGCCACTCTCACAGAATGCTTACAGACGGAGAACGGAAACAACACATACCTCACAGCTATTACTCATTTATATCTGCTTAAAAAGTACTCTGGGAGAGACTGAGAATAATCTGTGATTGGAAGACAGCACGCACGCTTTCCTCCTCAGCGTTAATATTCATGAAGGGATGACACGGGGGGGAGGGGACAGTCGCCCTGGAGGCCATTCCAAGCCCTGGACCTGGCACGTCCATCAGAGAGGCACTGGGCTCCACACCGTTTTCAAGGCTGACTCCTTTCAGAAATGACTCACCAGGTAATCTTCTGAGCCACTTCTAGGGGATTCAAACCACCAACCTTTTGGTTAGTTGCCTAGCCAGGCACTGCGCAGTTTTGTGCACACGGAGGGACTCCCAATATTTAGTAAGGCTACAATGGTCAGGGGTGAGATTCAGTATGCGTAATATAACAAGTGTGATACACTCTCTTCGCTAACCTACAAAGATGATCGGGTATTGACAGTCCAATGTTTCTTGACTTTTTGGTCTCAGGAGGCCTTTCACTCTGAAAAAGGACTTATGTGATATTTATTTACCAATGAGAAATTAAAACTAAATTATTAATACTTATTCTTAAATACCATAAAGAGAATAACCATTACATCTTACACTAAATATGCATTTATGGGGGGAGAAAAATCCCTAGATTTCCCCAAACAACAAAGTTTAGTGAGAAGAATGGTATGGTTTTACATTTTTGCAAGCCTCTCCATTGTCACACTTAACTGGTGACACCTGGATTCTCTCTCTTATCCATATATGATATCTTAGGGTTTAAATATTTGAAGAAAATCTGCTTTTACACAAATAGTTGTTGGAAAAGAACAGAGTGATTTAATAGCTTTTTCAGTTAACTATAGATGAATTTCTTTGATAGTACATCGAAAGTTAACAGAGTAGTTTCATAACGGTTACTTGCCATGTGGAGTCAAAACCGTGCTCTATAGCATTAACGTCCACCGGTGTATCTAAAGTTTGGAATGATCTTTTGCCCACACATTATTTTTGGAAAGGGCTCAAGAATACCCCGTTCACAACCTGAGATATAGGAGAAAACTGTATTTAGGATTCCACCTAAAGATGACGGATACTATTAAGGCTATAAGCCATTGCATATTGCCTTGATCCTTTTAAAGCTTTTAAATTAATGTGCTCAACATTTTCCTGAAATGGACTATCATTATAATAGACTAAGAAGCAAGACCGAAAAAAAAAAAAGTTGCATTTTGGTCTAACAGGAGCCAATGACAAAGCTTGGATAAATGTAAATTGAGTATTATAAACATGTACATTGAACACGAGGAGAATATATTCAAATATGTTCAGAGCTATAAGCCTTTATGCTGAAAATAATTTTAAGAAATATGTTTGAGTAATATTAGTCAGGAAAATTTAATGAATTGTTAATCTGTTAAGATACTTCAAATAGCATTACTTGGGTATTGAAGTTTTTGAAAAAGTTAACTGGTATACATATTATGTAAGCATAATGAATCCCCTCTGACAATGAGATCAAAGATAAAACTGTAGAATACTCAAAAAGACCCACCAGACAAATTATACATGTCAACCTACAGATGTAGAGTAGACTCAATGTGATTGATTGAGAGAAATGGATCTTATGCTACGGGCCACAAACCACCAGAAGGGACCCTTCACGAGTCCGGTATGAACAACACAATGAAAACAGTGCAAAGAGAACAGACAAACACAAGAACAAACTTGATTTTAGCTTCTGTACCTCTTAATATTTCAACCAGAAGTATCAAAAAAGCACAAGGAGAATTGCTGCAGCAAATTTACGATGCCTCACTACAGACAAAAGCAAAAGTCAGAGTCAAATTTAGTCACAAGATATAATTGGGCAAACTTATTTTATCTGCATCTGTTATATTCCTTTAAAAGATTTCGTGCAATTTTATATAAAGAGGAAAAAAGAAAACTAAGAGAAATATAAAGATCATGACAACACCCAACAGCAATAGTTAAACATTTGTAATGCAGACTATGTGCCAGATGGCAGTCGAAGATCTTCCCAGAAATTAACTCACTGATATGTCCTAACTACCTTTGGGATGGGTATTACTTAAATCCCTTTTTACAGATGAAAAAAAAAACTAAAACCAAGGAGGTGAAGAGATATGAACAGAGCATTTAAGTCACAGAGTTGGGGTTTGAACCAGGGCAGCCTGGCTCTAACTCCCTTCAAAGCATGGCTTACAAAAATACCTACCTGCCAAAGCTTTTCTTCTCTAAAAGTAAAATCAGGCAATACCCATAAAACACTTGGTAAGTCTGGTTCTGATGGAATTCTTCCACCTCATAACTTCTGTTAAGCGTTTAGAATTTAAGAGCTAGAGACAGCAGAATATAATCAAATAGTTTAGATTACAGAACTACAGGAATTGTATCACTTGTAAAAGTATTTGCTTCCATACAAGTCTGAGGAGCATGGCTTCAGTCAATGGCAAGGAACAGGAAGAATGTATGGGTTACAGTTTTGGGGTTTTGTCTGTAAAGGAAAGGGGGGAAAAGATAAAGGAATACATACAAAAACCTTATGTTTTGTTAAAGGGCTGGGGATATTTTCCACAACATAAACGTATAGGGAAATGAAAGAAAATATCCACATCTTCCTAGATTCCGAAGGAATGAGCTATATCTGAGAAATTAATTTTTCTACATTCAATAAAGGAATCATGTACCACAACCATGTAATAAAACAATACTGAAGCAAAGTCCAGTACAATTCCTTGTATAACTTACAGCCACCCTGGATAGTCATTTCTAAAACCTCTTCCTTGTTATTGTCTAAATAGACACACTGTGCTATCTACAAGGAAAGGCAGATGTCTTACAGTTACTAATAAAGTATGATTTTTTTGCAGATCTGAAAAGTTGTAAAGACACCAACTCAAAACTACAGCGACATATTTCACTCTGAAGAGAAGAAAGCGAGATTTGTCCACTGAGTAACTGTAGATGTGCTGAGTCTTTAAAAGCCTTCAACAGTTAGGGAAATGATTTGTTTGTACAGAAAACCACAACTTTCATACAATTAACCTACCTAGGAAAGCACGGGGATAGTGGCGGGAGTGGCTTGTGGGCAGCAGATTTGAGATTCAGTTTTATATTTCACAACCAATGAAGTGGTTAATAAAGAAAGCCGAAGGGTGGGGAGGGGGGGCATGGGACTACAACCACAAAGATTCTAATTTAAAGCAAGTTATGAACCAGAAAACTGCTTAAAAAAATTTTTTTAAATCTAGCACTAGCCTGCTAAATATAGTAACAGGCAGTGGAAATAAACATTTTCAACATAACAAAACTAGGCAATACAAAGGAGGGAACAGCTATACACACCTCTTCAAAGTCAACACAAAATCTTCCAAGGAATTTTTAAGTTTTGTTCCTCTACTTTGAAAAACATTACTAACATTACACTAATGAGCAAGAGGGTGGGAAGACGCGCTAAGCGAACATCCTAAGAGCAAAAAACGACACAGTCAGTTGAAATGTGTTTAAATGGATCACCTAAAAAAGGGTTGCACTTTTGACATTTTTTTCAGGAAAGCACGCTTATCAAAAAGCCACGGTTTTTCAAGAAAGAAGAGGCCAGCTTACCTTGATACGTTTTCTGGAATGTATTCTAGGACCGGGTATCCATCGCTTCTTCGTGATGGCAGGTCGCCATGCGATTTCCACGACTCCACTAAAGTGCCGACAGGAGGAAATGAACTCAGGTGTTGGAAAGACTGGTCTCTAGCCGATCGGGACAACGCTATTGTACCTTGAGCACCAATCCTGTAGTGAAAGGACTGTCCACCTGAATTCACGCCAACAATGGCGGACGACGGGAGGCTGGTCTCGGGGTAATAGCTCCCATCATCTGGTTCTTGCTTAATCCCCATGGAGAACCCACCGCCTTCACAGTGCCCATCGAAGCCTGGCACAGGTGGTCCTAAGATTCCTGATAGAGAGTAATAGTCTTTGTCATCCATGAAGGAAAAGTATGAGCCATCCATGAATGGAAACGGGTTTACAGTTGGATTCCCTTTAAAAGAGGTACCTGAACAGGAATGCTTGGTGGATTCTTGCTTTATGGGTACAGAAAACGGGGAATCTGCATTTATCTTGCTATTTCCTCCTAGGCAGGAGCTACTGAAAGCGCCATCTGGTTCTGGCTTGATGTACTGGACGATGTTGAGCTGCGCAGACACGCCATTTGCGATGGCATGCTCCACTGGCTCCGTCTTGGGGAAAGGGCCGTCCACGGTAGCACCTTTCTCGTGCGTGTCGGGGCTAGGGGCCACGTCCCGAGGGGCACTGGAGCCCCCCGGGGTGCCAGACGCCGTGTAGCTGAAGGCGCTGTGCACGGGGCTACAGATGGATCCCACAGTGCTGGCCGTCGGGCTGGACAGCGTGGATCTGTTGTTGGTGTTGGAAGGGCTGGAGACAGAGCACCTTGAGTTGTGGATGTTTGCAGGGCTAGACACAGAGGACCGCAGAGCGACGTGGCTCGGGCTGGACACCGGGGATTTGACGCTGCAGTGGCTCGGAGGGCTGGAAATGGGGGATTTCATGCTACTCAAGGGGCTGGACAGCGGCGAGCCCACGTTGCTCGCGTGCGCGGGGCTGTGCGACCTGGACCCTCGGTTCTCCACGCTGGGGGAGCACGTCAGAGGCGTCCCCTGGGTGATGGGGCTGTGCACTGCAAAACTGCCAAAGCTGGTCGTGGTGGAGGACACGGAGTTGATCCCCGCGGGGCTGCAGACGGCCGCTGTCATGTTGAGAGGGCTGCAGACGGACGGGCTCTTCTCACGACCCAGGATGGGGCTTTTGACCATGGCGCGCATGACGCCACCGCCATTCACGCAGCTCCCGGGCTCGGACAGGAAGGACCGCAGAGGCCTCGTCATGCTGCTGAACGCCGAGGGCCGGTGGCCGTTTTCTTTGTAAAATTTCACCAGCTGTTCAACGTTTTGATAAATCTTCGCCGGGCTCAAGCTTCCTTGTGGGTTCTGCGGGTCAAAGGTGTAATCGGCATCTCGGATGGAATCCATGTACAGCCCCATGGACTCGGCGACAGTGGCCGAGAGTTCCTTAGATTCCAACTCGGTTTTAATATCAGATGCGAGGGTTCCAGGACGATGACTGTCCTGCTGCAGGCAAGGGAGGAGTTCGTGTTTTTCTTTGCTGCTTCCTTGAGTAGTGTTGTTGGGAATAGCACCGGAAACACAGCTTACGTTGACGATCTCCATGTAGCTATTCGCATCGTTCCTCTCGGTAGGTCCCAGGGAAGAACGCTGCACAGTCTGAGAACCGTGACCCCACTGTCTTTCCATATCTAGACCTTCAGGCAGGCTGGGGTATCCCTTGGTCTCCATCACTAACAAATAAATTGATATTAAAAAATTAAATCAGAGTCAGTTAGGGCAACATTACTCTAAAAAAGACACCCTAAATAGCATTTACTAAGTTGGAAACTATATGCTCTACTTACTATCAGCAGTCTTTCCAGTTCTATTTGAAACTGCTACATTCTAAGACTTTAAGCCAGAAAAGAGGAAGTAATCGTAGCTTAGAAAATTATTTGTGCATCTAAATAAAAAGGTACACCTCTATTATAGCCTTTAGTGTTCACAGAGAATATTTACAAATTCTAAGTTTGTGAAATACCCCAGGTCATCCTCGATCAATGGGTACCAGAGGAAACTGTGGACCTGGTATGGCAGTTGAAAACGCTCAAGGTCACAGAGACGGTTAAGAAACAAAGTCTGAAGCCAAAGCTTTTGGAGTCTTTGGATCATATGGAAGCTGACTTCCACACCTCTATAGGATTTTACGGAAAACGATTAGGTAGATGCAATTAATGTTACCATTTCTAAATATAAACTTACCGAGGAAATCATCACAGACAAAATAATATTTGAGGATTATCTTTAAAGTAAGAAGACTTCCTTACACTAATTTCCTGATGACAATAGTTTAGCATCCTCTACAAAATGGATGAATGAGAATGGGCCACAGTTCAGAGAGGTAACATGACCACTGAGAAGGCCAAGATTCCACGCCTCTGTATTTCAGTGAACTGCCAAAGACTTGGACATGGGCTCTGACCCTCAGGATCCCTGCTAAAAGGATTCCTAAGAGAGACATATTTCACTCCCAAGACTACAATTATGGTGGAAGTTCTAGATAGGTCCCCATAATTCAAGCATTGGTTCTTTCAACAAACCTGTCCCAAGTGCCTACAGCATCTGGGCTTATCAACAGTCACTGAAAATTCTGTGATAAACAAAACAAACACAGTTGGGGGCCTCACAGTATCGACTGAGAAGGACAGCCATCGTCATTGACCCTAGGTATGAAATTATTTCCTGGACCGAGGAATAATCACAATAACCCTGCACCTAGAAAATCGTTATATAGTACTTAATTCCATATTCTAGTATACGCAGCATAGATCTATTAACGTATTTGATCCTTACATAACTAGTACCTTATCAGTTCAGTACAAGTAATATTCAAATGATACAATTGGAGAAACCAAGTCGCAGGATGCATAGCCCATAAGCAGCAGAGCTAGAATTTGGCTTCTCTCTATACCAGGTTTGGTCTCTCTCTGTACCGAAGCGTCCCAATTTCAGCAAGACTGACATTTGTGGGTGATCATTCTGTGTGTTGGGGACCTATTCTATGCATTTTAGGGTGTTTAGCATCATTCCTAGCTTCAGCCTACTAGATGCCAACGGTCCTCCCCATCCTCAGTTGCGATAATCAAAACTCTCAGCAGGGGGAGGGGGGGGCACACCCATTGGTGAGAACTACTGCTCCAAACATGTATGTATGCACACTTGTATGTATGTGCGTGTACATTCATTATAAACACACATATATACACATATATGTGAAAGAAAATTAGCTAATTCTCAGTAAAATTTCATTTATACAGATCAATATATATAAACCATAAAATCTATATATGCAAATTTATCCAATCTTTTGAAGCCCATAGAGTCTATGACCCAAATAAGAGAAGGCCCTGAGCTCAGAGATGCTGTGTTCTGCAGTACTGTACACGAGCATTGCTTCAGGCCTCGCTCCTCATTCGCTCTGCCACCCGCTCCCTACATTCTCCCTGCTTTCTCTCGCTGTAAAAAAGACACACTCACACATCCTTTTGCTACAGAACTTACACTAATTAACACAGGACAATAATTTCATGGCTCTGGTCAGTAAACTACCATCAGCTATTGCAAGGCTACAGGTGATGAGTTACAAATTGCTCAGGTATTGTACTTACCTTTTATTTCCATTTTTTACACTAGATTTTAAGTTATAAGAAAGTAGAAACGTAATAAATTCCACTACTGTATCCCAAATGGAGAGACTATCATGTCATTTTAAGAAAAAAAAAAAAAACCTATTTGAATCAAAACTGAATAAACATTTAAAATTAAAAATCTACCAATTAAACAACATTCTTTTACTTAAAAAAATATCCTAGCAATTGGAGCCCTGGTGGCTTAGACATGTTGTCCTGATAAAGTTAGCAGTTTGAGATCACTAGTCAATCCATGGAAGAAAAATGAGGCTTTCTATTCCCATAAAGTTACAGGCTTGGAAACCCACCGAGGCAAGTCTACCTTGTTCTACAGGGTTACTGTAAATCAGACTCTTTTAATAGCGTGAGAGTGACCCTATGAATTAAAAAATGCAAATCACTCACAAAACGTGAAAAGTAAATTCAAAGGCTCAGGTATTGCTATTATTGTCAGGCACTATCCAGTTGTTTCCAATTCACAGCGACATGGTCTTGCACCGTTCTCACCATCAGTGCTAAGCTGAAGCCCACTGTTAAGAGTCCCTGTGCCAATCCATCTCAGTGCGAGGCTTCCTTTTATACTGACCCTCTACTTTATCAAACATGAATCCTTCTCCAGGGACTAGTTCTTCTTGATAATATGTCCAACATACATGCTGAAGTCCCATCATCCTTGTGAGTTCTAAGGGGCATTCTGATTATACTTTTTCCAAAAAGGATTTGTGCCTTCTCTGGCAGCCCATGACACATTCAATATTATTTGCCAACACTGTAATTCAAAGGCATCACAACAATTCTCTTTCAGTCTTCTTTATGCACTGTCCAGCTTTTGCATGCAAATATGGCAATTTAAAATACCATGGTTTGGGACAGGTATACATTAGTCTTCAAGCAATATCTTTGCTTTGTAACACTCTACAGAGGTCTTTTGCAGCAGATTGCCCTGATGCAGTGTGTCTCGATTCCTTGACTGCTGCTTCCACAGGTGTTGATTGTGGAACAAAGTAAAGTGAGACCCTTGATGTCAATCTTTTCTCTGATTAACATGCTGTTGTTCATTGGTAAACTTAAGAGGCTTCTTGTTTTCTTTATTGTTGAAATGCAGTCCGTATTGAAGGCATTAGTCCTTGATATTCATTGGTAAACGCCACACGTGCTTGTCACTGTCAGCATGTAAGGCTGTGTTATTTGCACACGTCACAGGTTCTGAATGAGTCTTCCTCTGATCCAGATGCCATGTTCTTCTTCATATAAACCAATTTCTCAGATTACTTGCAATATACAGAAGGAATATGTGTACTGAGAGAATACATCCTTGACACATACCTTTCTAGATCTTGGACCATGAAATAGCCTGTTGTTCTGCTTAACTACTGCAGTGTGAGCTATATACAAATTCCCCATGAGCACAATGAAGTGTTCTGAAATTCCCATTCTTCACAATGCTATCTGTAATCTACTAGGATCTATACAGTTAAATGCCTTTGTATTGTCAATGATACACAAGTAAACATCTGTCTAGAACACTCTGCTTTCAGTCAAGATCCATTTGACATTAGCTATAAAATACCTTGTTCCATGTCCTTTTCTGAATTCCTGAGTTTCCTCTGGAGATACTGCTGCAACCATTTCAAACAATCTTCAGCAAAACTTTACTTGCATGAATATCGCTGATACTCTTCAAAATTTTCAACATTTGGTTGAACCACCTCTCTTTGAAATGAACACAAATGTGGATGGATCTCATCCAGTATAGTGACTAGGTAGACGTCTTCCAAATTTCTTGCATAGAGAAGTGAGCACTTTCAACATTACATCTGTTAGTTAAATCATCTCAACTGGTATTCTGTCAATTCCTGGAGTCTTATGTTCTACTAATACCCTCAGTGCCATCTTGATTTCTTCCTTTTGTGCTATCTGTTTTTGATCATGTGCTACCTTCTGAAACAGTTGAATATTGAGCAATTCATTTTGAAAGTGACTATATATTCCTTCCATATACTTATGATACTTCCTGTATCAAGCAATGTTTTTTTCCCCAGAATCCTTCAATGTTGCAGCTAGAGGATTGAGTTTTTCTTTAGTTCTTTCCATCGTAGAGATTATTTAGTAATTCAAATAAAAAACATCAGTTTGGAAGAAAAAATAGTTGGGAAAGGGAGAAACGGGGCCTACCCTTCTAATACTAACCCTTCCATGAGCTGAAAAGTACCTTCTGTTTGAGAATATTCTGTTCTCTTATATCAAATATGAATGGACATACAATCTTTCATATATATTTTTAAAATTATTTATGTGATATGGTTGTTTCAGGTTAAATTCATTACATATCACCAAAAAAAGGCATGTTCAATGTGTTCAAAATTGGCTATCACCCCTGTTCAGAATTCCACGTTCTCGGTCTTTGCACTATTTTCTACTCAAAATACCCGGAAGTTTCCCTGCCAAGACACCCTTCCCAAAGACCTGCAGGCACAATTCTCCCTACTTCCACAGCTACTGCTTCATTCTCCTGTCCCTGGTCCAAGGCAACCAGCCTCTCTGGTCTCCTTGCTCTGAGTCTAAATTAGGGGACGTACTGGGGAGAGAATCCCTACCCAGGACACTCTCAGAAATCCATCCTTCACACTGCCATTTGAAGAGATAACTTTATTGGGCTTTTTTTTTTAAGTCCACTTCTCTGCCTTTGGTGTGAATTTGCATACTAATCCCCCCACCCCCCTGGGCAGAAAACATTTGTTTTTAATACTTAGTATTCCCTAAATTAGTTGTCCCAGAATTCTTTTTTCTTAGTACACCTTCTAATATCCTGAGAGGCACTTTCCATCATTCTGTCCTAACTCAGTAGCCCTACCCCAGACTTGGGAGGGTGACAAACTGGAGAGAAGCTACATCACAAATGGCAGGCACAGACAACAGCCTTAAAGCACTATAGAAGGAAGCTTCTTATCAGGTAACATCATGGGAGAGATCACAACTTTCTAAGTCCTGTTTGACTGGCCTTGAACTCTTTTAAGTATAACATAATACAGCCTATATTTCACCACATTATTGACAGGACTATCATTAGAGAATCTGCAAACAGCTTTGCTGAAATCGACATCACTTGTGTTTAAACTACTCTCCTCATCTACCAACGCAAAACACCTTCCAACCAAGGAAATGAAACTTGCGAACAAATAAGACAGGAGCACAGCAAGCATCTGCTGGGCGACCACTGCAGATACATATTTTTTAAGATCCTGCATTTTTTTAAGGAGATTACTGGAAACATTTTAAGCTGAACTCCATCATTTTAATCTGTCTGCTCTTTAAAAATCCAATGGAACAGGTTGGGAGTTTATTTCCTATGTTGTCCAGGAAACCCGGGTTTGCCTTTTTAGAACTGGCTTAATGACCATGGCTTGAGCAGAGTTTCAGTCAACCTGAACGCCCAAGTGAATACTGAAAACACTAGCGAGGGACACGATCCTCATAGAACGTGATACCCCAAAGGGAAAGGAAAGCATGTGTTGCTAAAGTATATCTCACATATATAAAATCCGGCGTGTCTCCCTCCCAAAGGAATTATAACAGAGACTCTCAACCTTTAATTTGCACGCAAATGACCTCGCCCAAAAATGTAAAACAAGTTTCAAAAGAAGAGTAAGAAGTAAATGTGTTCTCCAACACAATTTTTGCCAAGGAAAACCTAACAAAAATTTGCTCTTTTACAGTCTGCATTTAGTTGCCCTTTTTCTAAAGATAGACATCTTCTCTCTAGATATTAGCACAGTCTTTCCGGGATTGTGCCTTACAAGAAAACACTCTCACTGTGAATGGCCCTTTTCAACACAGCCCCATTTTAAATGCATCCTTTTGGACAGCTCTTTCACTAGGATGTGGCCCCCTGAAGACTGGCCCTCCTTAAGCATTTCCCAACCATCAGTAAGTTTACCTACTAGTAAGAAGTTCCCTGTCTGTAACTTTTTCTGCCCCCTCCACCACAAAACAATTATTTTGTTTCCCTCCTTTACAGATGAAGCAAATGATAGAAACCTGCCCAAGGTCACCCAAGAGGGCAGGAGAACCAGTCAGAACTGATTTCTATTCACTCACCTAAGGCACTGAGCACATGATCCTTCCAAAATCCCCAACAAAATTATGCCTACCTTAAAGGAAAAAGCTCCTTTATTGAGTTATTTACTTCTCTCCTCAAGCCTTTCCATGAGAGCATGCCACGATGTCAAACAAACAAAAATTGAAACTTCACAGCAAGACTTCACAGATGGAGACCAATGTTAAAGCTTCTACTAAGGCAATGCCATCATTAACAGCACCTAGAAAAATGGCAATACCTAGTGCCAAAAGGCATAAACGAGGTGGATCTGACATTCAGCAGTCTCCAAACTCATCCAACACCAAAAGTTTCCCAATGTTATAATAGATACTTAAATTGGTGATATTAGAAACAACTCGGGGTTAAACTTGATCTGCGTCAATGAAGTAGAAAGTCACGCACCTAAATTCAGTAGTAGTTTAAGTCTGCCACCCAAAGAAGCTGCATCCCCTTCTCCCCTGCCCTAGAATCCCAACGGATGCCACCGAAATCCTAGCCTCTCGCTAGTTTGAATACTACGGACCTGGAAAAAAGCACGTCTCCAGAGCCCCTTCCACATAGGCTCTATTAGGATCTGTATCTCCTTCAACTGCCCTTATTCAACTACACCTTTGGCTGAGATTTGGGAGCTTCCGCAATTAATAGAGGAAAGAAATATTATTCAAACGCCCTTTCAAAATTGTACAGGGTAACCATCCAAATTTCATCTTTGGGTGGAGGGAAGGGTGGCAGACCTCCCACTGCCAAAGGCGGTTCATAACTGCTCGTCAGGGGGCATTTATCCCAAGTGGTCAAACTTTCCCAAAATAGTCCTCCGGCAGCCAAAGGAGGGGGGAAAGTAGAAACGCCAAACACAACGACAAGCACACAGCACCACACCAACTGTGCCCCCGGATCTCGCAGCCCCTTCTCTCTGCAAAGTGCAAGCACCGGAGCCGCGGCCGCACGCCGGGCGGACAAGCGGCGCCCTGCCGCGCGCCCCTACACACCTGCCTCGGCCGGGGTCCGTCTCTGGGCGTCTACCTGTTGCAGCTCCTGTCACCGCCGCGACACCCCTGCTGCGGAGACCCCCTGAACGCAACCGCATCCAGGCCAGCGAGTGCCGCTCTCCCTGCAGCGGGAGAGCCTAAGGCAGCAACGTTCTTGCACCTAGGTGACTGTACGGGCTTCCTCAGAGCCGCCTGAAGTTGGCTTGCGTCTCCCCGGTCCAATGACACCCCGGGCACCGAGGGGCGGAGAAGAGGGGGCAGGGCCAAGGCCGGGGCCTGGGCGGGCGAAAGAGGGAGGGGACGCGGGGAACGACGGAGAGAGGGCGGGCGCCAACCCGGAGGGGGAGTGGGCCAGCTGGAGGGCCGGCCCTTTGAAAAGCGGGTCACATGTCCAGATAAAGTTCAGGTTGCTAGCCCGCCCTCCCGGGCCCTTCTCATTGGCCCGAGGGAAGCAAGACTCCACACGGCACGGCCCAAACGGGCTTCCCATTGGACAACCTGGGCTGTCAGTCAGCCAGCGGGCGACATGACTAATACAAAGTTGCTGCGACACAGCCTGGACACAGCAGCTCCCTTAAAGCCGCAGCGGCGGCCGGGGTTCGGGGTGCCGGTCAGCGGCCAGGACACCGGGCCCCGGCTCCCCTTCGCTCCACCGCCCCCCAAACTTGCTCGCGCCCACCCGGCCCACCTCCAGGCCGCCCCTCGCCCGTCGGGAGCGCTGGGCAAAGTGCGGTGACGCGGAAGAACGCGGTCTTGGCCCGGAGCAGTCCAGGTGCTGGCCCCGCCCGCCCTCCACCTGCAGCGCCAGGTGAACTGCAGCCCTGGCCGCGGCGTCGCGCGCGGGGTCGGCGCGCAGGCGAGGCTCCAGGTGGAATCCCTGAGCCCAGGGCTCGCCCCTCTCCCCCCCTGCCCCGCCCTCGGTCCGCACCGAGTTACCTCTCCGCCGAGCAGCTGCCAGAGCTGGGAGAGCTGATCGCCGCCCCAGCCGCTTGGAATTTCCTCATTTCCCCCGTGCCGGAGAAGCGGGGGATTGCAGTGCCGCCGAGGCTCCTGACACCCCCCCTCCCCCCCGAGAAAAAGTGCCAGGGTCCCCAATTGTCGCTCGCCTCCCTCGTCCTTCGGTTGCTAGACTTACTACTTTGGTCTGGCTTTTTCCATTCGTTCTATTTCAAAGAAAACTTACCATCGAAGATGTTCACTTCTTTAAAAATGGAGGCGGGGGTGCACATAATTGGGAGCGACATTCAAGAGAGAAGGAGCCAAATTGTTTAAGAACTATCGACTGTCGACAAGAAGAAATTTCGGTTTCCCTCCAGCCACCCTCCCCGCCCCCCCACCTCGGCTTGCCCACCCAAGCGCCGCGATTACTAAGCAAAAAGGATGAGCTTTTTAACTTTGATTTCTAAGGACTTTGGGGCACCGCGTCGGAGGCTCCGTTTTAGGTTGGTGACAGGCCCGGTCAGGACCAGTCACGTACCCATTTTAATCTGCCCCCAACCCCTCACCCGGCTTTGGGTCACCCGCAGCCAAGCGGCGGCGGCCGTGCCTCCCTCCCTCGCCCCTGCCACCCTGACCCTTGCCCTGCGCCCGCCAGGGGACACCCACAGCTCAAAGGCCCCTCCTCTCCTGACAGTTAATTAAGCTTCAGGATTCCTAACTCCTAACCCCAGGAGACTCGCACTCTTGCCCTCCCCCGGCCCCCCAAGGGCCTGAACTCCCCCGCAGCGGGGTGCAACAGCGGAGGCGGCGGCGCCCGCCCACTGGTCCCGATCCCCCCGCTCTGGTACCTAGCAGTCCCCGCCGAGTCCCAACTTTCCCAGGGGTCCCGCCGTCACGCGCGCTCCCCCAACCCGGCCGAGCCGGACAGAGGGCATCGGTAGCACCCTGGGCGGCGGCAGGAGCCGGACAGTCGCGAACCCAAGGCCTGGGCCAGCTAGGTGGGGGCTGCGGCTCAGCTGGCGCTGCCGAATTATCCATTATGAAAGGAACGGACGTGTCTCTTTTACTAAGTTTTTACCTCCTTTGGGGAGGGCCGGTCTTGCCCTGGATCTCCGCTCCCAGCAAAATCTGGGTTATAGCCGCGCAGGGACAGCCGCCCAGACCGGTGACCCGGCGCCCAGCACCCCTGCCCCGAGGCGACCCCGTGGGGACTTCCCCTCTCGCCCGCAGCCCACCGCCACTCACCACCCGCGCCCTCTGCGCAGACCTGGACTCCCAGGGCCACCCCCACGCTCTCGGGGCCCTTCCCGCCGCCTCCCGCCGC